GAATAAAAAATACATTTCTTTGGAAATGCTTTGATAACGTATTTATCATGTTTTACTGGGAACAAATTCCACAACATTTTTTATTAAAAGAAGTACTCTGGTTTTTTTATAAAGCATAAGCAAAATCGGTCTTTTCTGGCCGTGAAAATGGGGATGTCACATATTGTGTATGTGTTATTTTTTCGTGTGTTGGTACTTTGGGGGAACTCACTAAGCTTTAGGCTTATAGTTTTGGGTTATGTTTCAGGAACCTCATAAGTGCGGGAAGGCGAAGGCGTGATCGTGCACCTCCTCGTGTTTTGATTTATGATTTTGGGAAAACTCTGATATTAACCATGTTTTGAAAACTAAATTGTAAACAATGATGATTTGTGGGTTGGATTTAAAAGTTTAAATTTTTCATGAATTTTATGGATGTTACATCTAATTTTGATTAACCGAATACCTGTGGTTCGGTTATGGTTTTCATCTAAAACCGAACTACTATAAACCGAACCGAATCAAAAATATTAATAAATGTTTTTAATATAACATAGTACTAAATATATGGTATGTAATTATATTAGTAATTGAAAATTTAAAGGGTAATTATTTGGAATTAGATAGGATATGTAATCTTCTATCAATACCATTATATATACACAATCATTTACTTTTTATAACAATAGACTTTATGTTTTTCAATTTTTATAGAAAAAGTACTTTTATTTTTATTTTTATGCCATCTTTGACCATTATGGTTAACCGATATTAACCACTAACTATAACCATTAACCGACTAAAATCGTTAACCAAAACCAGTATTAACCGCTACCCAATGATTATCGAAATACATTAACCAATTGTAATGATTATGGTTCGATTTTGACAAATAACCGAACCAAAACACCCCATACACACCCCTACCAGGACATTTTCAAAAAGCTCCTAAAAAGCCACTTTAAGTAGCTTTTTAAAAAGCTAGTTTATCAGCCACTTTTTGGTTTGCCAAACATAAACATTTAAAAAAGTTCGAAAAATAAGCTAGTATCAACTACTTGTGGCGTGCCAAACAGGCAAACACCTCCTTAAACACATAGGTCTAAATTAGTAAAAATCATGTGAATATATAAATTGGTAGAAAAATGAACTTCCTTGTATAAATAAGCGTACTCTCAAGATAGTATAAAATTAGTCCAACAAAAAAAATGATCACCCGATTGGACATCAATTTACCATGAGAACCAACATTATTAATTTCAGATGAACAGAAGATCAGACATCCCCACATCCAAGAACATTTGGTACTATGATGGTATATTTGTAGAAAATGTCAAAGGTTCAAATCTCAATAGTCGTTAGCAGTTTCAAAACCGATGTAGAATTAGACATGGCAAAACCTGGTACGACATGACAACGCGACACAAAATTAACGAGTTTGGATGAAGGATTTCGACACGTTTAAGTAACATGTTGATATGACACGACAACCTGTCACAAGATCTGCGCAACCACTTATGTCGTCGCCATGCAGACAACGTGCAGACATATGCCCTCGCATAGTGTTTGTTTTTTGGAAGTACGCAAATCTAAAAATGTTTGCGCGAGGTCTTCTTGGTATACACTTGGCCCAATGACTTCTAAGGTCTGCAAACTCACTTCAACCTAAACAAAAAAAGACGCCTCTTTTTTCTTTTCTATCAGCGCCTCCGACATCCTTCCACTTCTCCTCACAATCGACTCTCCTTCACCGTCGATCATCTCCAGCCTCGTCTCCTCCTCCTGGCGCCGCCGTCCAGACTAGATGTACCGCCAAACACTCCAACAGTTGAACTATGACGGTCGGAATTTCCCCTGAAAACGAAAATAGGTTTGCACCTCCTGTTTCTGATTTTTTTTCTTGTTCTAATATGAAAATGAAGGTTACTTTGCTGAAAAAACTCTCTATTTTACTTAAATTTTGTTCTTTAATATTGCTGAAAATACTTTTTATTGCTCAAATTTGTTGTTGAATGTGCTAAAAATTATATTTTGCTTTTGGATGTTATTGGAATATGAAATAATGTTGTTTATGTGCTATTTTTTGCTGAATTAATGATGTTTATGTGTTGTTTTTTTTGCTAAAAATGTAAAATAATGATGTTTATGTTTTTTTTTTGGCTGAAAATGTGATATGATGATGTTTATATGTTGTTGTTGTTGGTTTTTTTTTTTTTAAATGTGAATTAATGGTGTTTATATTGGTGTTTTGTATGCTGAAAGTGTGAAATAATGATGTATATATGTTGTTNTTTTTTTTTTTTGAGATCAAGCTCTTTATTTGCTGAAAATCAATATTTGTTGAAATGTGTATATTTTGTCAAATCTTGTAAGGTTGTGCTTGCTTTAAAATCTGATTTGTATATGTTTTTTGGTTATTAGAAATGGGAGATAAACAACAATGGACAAATGACCATCTAAAATGAATGATTTTGCACAAAGATTCATGGACCGAACTAGGAAGAGTTCTTCAGTTTATTTCAGCAGTCTTCAGATGTTAAAAAACAAACAAACTTCTTCCTGCAGACGTTTGGTCCACCTCTTTAACTGCAAAGGCTTGAAGATATGGTCCACAAACAACAGACGTTTTGGCTTCGAAAAAACAAACGCACCTTAATATTACTCATCCTCACCATCTATCATTTTGCTCCCCAACTCTAATTCTTTCGATTATGCCTTTAAACTTACTATGAATTTTATATGTGAGCATATGATTTACATTTTACATGATGTATGTGTTTCAAGCTTAAAAATTGTTAGAAATAACTCTTTTGCATAAAAGATCATTCTAGTAATGACTTATCATGCAATGAAAGTTACACATTATAACCTTAAAACAATATAATATCAAACATTTTACAAACACAAATAACTTAAACAACAAATCTAAATTTAATTACAACAAGAACCGACATTCCCGACTTCCAACAAAACAAAAAAACCAACGACCCAAACCAAGATTCAAGTATACAATGCCATCGACACACCTAAATATTGGCAACATGCAATAGAGGTTTACATACTTCAATTATTAAGCTCCCCTTTAAGTAAAATTTGCTTTTTACACAAACCCAAAACATAAAAAACTCTTTTTAAGAAAGACAAACTTCACCACTTTGATGAGCTTCTTTCACCCTTTTATCATACTCATCTTCATCATCTTCAGCTTCCTTTTCCCCTGTTTCTTTATCATCATCATATTCTTCATCTTGACCCCATCCAAACCCTCCAATGGAACGCGAAGCTGCAGGAGGAGATCTTGCTTCTTCCACAATTTTCATGATTTCCTCTACACTTTGTGGTGAAAATGTTGGGTTTTCCTTTCTATAATAAACAGCTTGAGCTGCTTCAGTTAATTCCCTAGGCAGATTCTTCAGGAACCATGGATGGCTTTTGATTTCTTTTAGGCTAATTCTCTACACAATATGAAAAAAAAAATCGAATTTGTAATGTAATCAACAAATTCAAGCATCTATCAACTTTCTTTGGGAAAAGATACATAAACCGCAAAACCGAGCACTTAATGAATAAAATAAATTGAAATGGGGGGCAAAATAGTCATTTTACAAGGACTTAAAAGAATCTATTTCACAATGCCAAAATAATGAAACCCTGTTAAATAAGGACCAAACGTAAATATATAAAAAAAGGCCTTTTTGGACCCAAACCAACAAAAGGCAAACAACAGGGACTATTTTTGCACTTTTTACAAATCTAATTATAAAAAAGGCCTTTCTGGTATCAAAACCGAGTAAAATGGGAAAATGTTTTCTTTTAATACAGTCAAGAATAGTATAATGATTTAATCGCTACAGAAAAAACAAATAATTGGCTAAAAGATATAATGATGAAAGTACAACTGTTTTTTTTTTTTTTTTTGCCCTTTTATTTATGGGAAAAGGTGGAAACTATAGTAGCATATTTGTCATATTTGTTTTGTAGGCCTCATTAACAAGCCTATATCAATACGGGATCCACATAATTGAACATAAAGATTTTCACCAAATGAAAAAGAAGACTTTATCATAAAATACAAAACTATTTCATCCTTGTTAAATAGAGAAAGGGTACAACTTGGATGTTGACTAATCATCCATCTTTGACTTTTCAATGTGAACAAATAAAAGCTAGCAGTTATGTGTTGACTTGTAATTACACATTCATAAAATGTAATTATGCCAAAAGTTCATGTTAGGTTGCCTTTAACATATGATTTAATTTTCTCAAATATTTTATAAAAAAAAGTAAATACATACCCTAGAAGCACCAGCAACAAATATCCGAGAAAGAAGGTGCCTACAGTCTTGAGATATGTGAACATAGTCTGGGATCTTATATTGCACAGCCATTATTCGCTACAAAAAAACAATAATAATCAAAAGTCAAAGTCAACACAAATAAGAAAAAAGTCAACTGTCTTACTTGAATAGTCTTCCTAAAGTTTTTAGGGTCTTCTTGATCTTCAAAAGGGTATGCTCCCACAAGCATCACATAAAGTGTCACTCCACAAGACCAAACATCAGCCAACTGAATCAACACAAATCAACATTTGCCAAAAAGATACATATTCATATTCATATTCATATAAATTAATCAAAACAATTTTCTGATTATATAAAACAAATTAATTTTTTTTTTATATTACCTTTCCATCATATTCTCTACGAGAAAGAACCTCAGGGGCAATGTAAGCAGGAGTTCCAACTGTGGATTTAGGTCTTGAGTGAAGCAGGGATGACTACACAAAGTAAGATTATTAATATCTTGATTTATATTTACAATTTCAACCCTTGAAAAATAATGAAACACCTTTGAGTAGCCAAAATCACAAATTTTCAGGCGGGGTGCAGGGCTTCCATCTAAAAGAGTGTTCTCAAGCTTCAAGTCTCTATGGCATATTTGCTTCACAAGATTGATATTATATTATTAAAATTCAATAAATAAAAGATGTATTTGTCATGTTAGACTGTTAGAGTTCATCTTTTAAAAAGACACTTTTACCATGAAATGACAGTAGTGAACTCCTGATATAAGTTGCTGGAAGAAGTATCTAGCCTGAAAAATTGACAAATAGCATCAATAAATAGAACATGTTGTACTGTGTTTTGCGTGCATCACACTGATGTTAGTGGGACAAAAACTGCAGCTTTTTGTCTTTTTGTCAGGGATTAGCTCTCAACCTCTCATTTGTGCAAAGGACAAAAATAGCCCTAGAATAATTTAAACCTCATCTTCACTGAATCTTCCAGCATTGCAAATCCTATCAAAAAGCTCCCCTCCTGCAGCATACTCCATTACAATAGCAAGGTGGGTGGGTGTCAACACCACCTATAGAAACATCACCATGATTATAAAGCTTATTTGTAACTTTTGGGGAATCTTTTATTAGAAGTCAATTGACATTTGGTCAAATTGACAAGATAGATGAATCTTGTTGATCAAAATCAATAAGATCAATGATTTGTAATGGTAGATATCGATGTGAAGAAAGCTACTTGCCTCTCTAAACCGAATTATATTCGGGTGTCGAAGAGATCTGTGATTTATGATCTCTCGTGCAACATTCTCATCAATCTACAACCAAAAAAGATATATATATGGTTAGATACCCTCTTGAAATTAAAGTAAAACATAAACAAATGACTACAATATTAGATGCGTAATCAAGTGGGAATTATATATAATTTAAGGCAATCAAGAAACTGAGAAAGAATTTTTGTTTGAACAATTCTAACTTGCAAAACCAACCAATTAGAATAAAACAAGATTAATTTATAATATAATATTAAAGATATGAGGAAAATCGTATATACCTTATGCCCTCTTTCTATATATTTCATAGCAACAAGCTCTTTGGTGACCTTGTCCCTCATCAACCTTGCAACGCCAAAATTCCCAGATCCTATATCCTTCACAAGCTCGTACTTGTCCATTTTCTATGATTTTAAATCATCGAGACACCATAAGAGATTTTGTTACGATTAAAAACGCAATGTTTGGTTATCATTTCAAAACTCCTTAAACCTAAATTCAATCGGAACTTACCTCAATGTTCTTCCGAAAATAGAAAGCCCAGAGAAAAATTCGATCAAAATGGGGGGTTTCGTGATTCGAATCAAATTTTGAACTTTTAATACAGAACAATTGAGCTTCAATTCATTGTTATCCTAGACCATAAAAACCGGAAACCCTAATCTCCTGGATAACAAGCGGTGCAATTGGGAAAGATTTGTGTATTTATCCAAATATTTGATATGGGTTTTGGTGTAAAGGGATGAATTTAGTGATAAGTATGTGGGATTGCGGATGATTATTAATAGAAAGGATTATGAAAGAACATGCAAACCGATTGCAAGAGAGAGAAGTGCGTGCGTTTTGTGCATCTATGGAATCTGTAGGAGAGAGAGATTCTAAAGAAATCAGGATTGTTTATGGATTGGAGAGAGAATATCTAAAAATAGACTGAAGTTTCCTGGAAAGAGAGGGAACGACAGGGATAGGGTTGAAGACAAATTACCAGGGGGTAGAATAATGAAATCGTAGTTTTTGAAGGGTTGAAATTGACATGTTTTTTTTTTTTAACGGCAACAGCATATATTATAAATAAAAAGCTAGCGTGGAGCTAGCGGACATACAAAGTATTCAGAAAAGAAAAAAAAAGGAAGAAAAAGTAAAAAGAAAAACAATCGCAAAACAACACCCAACCAGCCGTTAAATCCGGAGTTGTGGTTATTCAGCATTGTGGCTGCCTTGTTTCCACAGCAGTCCTGATTATATAACTTGTGAAGCACCTGGGGATTAATAGAGACCGTTAAATTCGACTTGGGTCATTGCACCATTCGATCCATCTAAAATGACTGTTTTTTTTTCTTTCGTGCATTTATCCATAGGAAGAATAAGATTTGGATTTCATTACTAATGTGGTATGGGATTTAGGATCATTGGAGTGGATCTTAAGATTTCTGAAACGCCATAGAACCCACATGTAAGTAAGGACTATAGCTTCTTGCACTTCAACAAATGCTTTTGAATACGATGAGGTAATCTTATGGTTACAAAAGTCTTCAAGGGATGGAGGGTTTGACGGCATAACTTTCCACCAACTGCATAATTTGGACCAAACATGACATGCTATTCGACACTCAAAGAATAAGTGTTTTTCTTCTTCTGGGGCCTCTATGCAAAGTTTACAATTTGAATCAGAGCCTAACCCATACTTGACCAGATTTACGAGTGTGGGGAGCCTGCCGTGACAGATTCTCCATGCCAATACATTCAATTTCCCCGGCACAAGTGTGTTCCATTCCTAAGCTGAGGGCGATTTGGGCAAGGTTTTTTTTATCGATGAAACGGCGGTATGAGGCTACTGAGTACTTTTTAGAAGGATCGATAGTCCATTGCCATTCACCAGATCCATGTTGATCAATTTGAAAAAGGTCATGGAATTGAAGATCATCCTTAGCTAGCATTTTTGGGAGATTTGCAATATTACCCCAACAGTTTCTCCGTCTGACTGCTCTTGCAGCATTTGTAAATCCCCCATCGGAACCATATATGGATTTAATTACTCCCAGCCATGTACAGTAGTTCGATGTTCTAAATCTCCACCACCATTTTGCTAGTAGAGCTTGATTTTGAGCTTTTAGGCTGCCTATACCGAGTCCTCCATGTTCAACATCCGAAAGCACTTTGTCCCAAGCAATCCATGCCATTTTTCTTTTTTCTAAGTGACCTCCCCAAAAGAATCGCATTCTAATTTTCTCTAGGTTTTTATGACACATGCAGGAGCTTTGTATAGTGAGAAGAAGAATGTCCCTAGACTTCCCAAGACAGCTTTACATAGGATGAGACGCCCGCCAAATGATAGATTCGATGTTTTCCATCTTGATAGTTTGTATCGGAACTTGTCAATTATCGGATTCCAATGTACAGCCCTGGACATAGAAGCACCTACCGGCAGCCCTAGGTAAGTGAATGGAAGTTGCCCGATCGAACAACAACAACTTCTAGCAACAAGTTCTATTTCTGTGTTTTGGACAGAAGTTCCGAAGAATTTGCTTTTAGACATGTTTACCTTTAAACCTGAAGAGAGTTCAAAGCATCTAAGAATTCTTATCAAGTTTTTAGCATTGCCAATTGACCAAGAACCAAGGAAAATCACATCGTCGGCGTACTGTAGATGCAATACATTTGGGCCATTATTTGGGAGTATAATGCCTGAAAAGATGTTTTTGTTGAGAGCTTCTTCCATGGCTATGTTTAAACCTTCGGCAGCAATGATGAATAGAAACGGGGAGAGGGGGTCTCCCTGTCTTACTCCTTTCTCCATGGGGAATTCAATTGTTGGGGAACCGTTAATTAATATTGATGCTTTGGCCGAAGACAAACAACCTTTGATCCACAAGCGCCATTTGTGGCCGAAGGCCATTTGGCTCATAATTGAATCGAGATATCCCCAGTTAAGGCAATCAAAGGCCTTCTCGAAGTCCACTTTGAAGATAAATGCTTTTTGTTTACGTTTTTTGAGCCATGAGATTACCTCATTCACAATAAGAGGGCCGTCCAAGATGGATCTGTTTTTTATGAAGGTAGTTTGAACTGGGCTGATGACAGTATTGATTACCAGCTTTAATCTTTCAGCAAGTATCTTGGCTATTGATTTATACAAACAACCAATTAAGCTAATAGGGCGAAAGTCAACGAAGGTGTTTGGATAAGGGGTTTTCGGCACCAATGTGATGAACGAGGAGTTACAACCAGGGTTGATTGTGCCGGAGGCTTCAAAGTGTTTGATTGCATGGTAGAAGTCATCACCAACGATGTCCCAATGCTTCTTTATAAGTGCGAATGACATCCCCTTAGGGCCCGGGGCCCTCTCTGAACCGCAGTCAAAAAATGCTTTTTTCACTTCATCATAGGAGATAGGAGCTTCAAGGTTTTGGCTTTCGAAGATTGATAATCTACGAAATTTGTTACTAAGGAAAACTGGTCTTGTTTTATTCTGCTCTGTGAACTTAGAAGAGCCCTCCAAACATGTTAATCAACGTTTGTGCACAAGCCCTCCAAACAATAAATTAGAGGCAAAATGTCCATACAAATTAATCATTTTTTTAAATGTCCCTTGTGTTTTTTTGTGTGTTTTTTTAAGGCATGAAACATCCTAAAATATAAAGAAAAATTTTCATCTTTAAATAAAGCAAAACCAACCAAATACAATTTCATCAAAAGATAATTATAGTATCAAATGTAGTTTCAAAACAAAATAAACAAAATATCAGAGTAATCAAAAAATAGACAGTGTTGAAACTCCGGTGGATGCAATTCAATCAGGATAGGTTCTTGTCTTTGCTACCAGAAGTACCTGAACCCATATAAACTTAAAACCGTAAGCATGAAGCTTAGTGAGTTTCCCAATATATCATATATCGTATCAATACATAATAGTAATTGGTCTTTTTTAACCCATGTGAATGTTATGGGTCGAATCATAGTCTTACAGTCACTTTGTGCCATGGGCCAAACATGGTATTTCCTGCTATGTGTCAAAGATAGTCTTTCATACAAGTGTCATGGGTCAAACACAGTCTATCATGCAAGTCACAAAGACAATCAACATATCATGGCACACAATGTCCTACAGTATAGTGAGAAGACTCACATGAATCCAGTGAGTAGGATCTTAATAACTTTATTGATGTAAGCTAGATGGACTTCTCTCTCTCTCTATCTTTTTCTCTCTATCTATCTATCTATCTCTCTCTATCTCTCTCTATGTATCTCTCTCTCTCTCTCTCTCTCTCTCTCTCTCTCTCCCTGCACCCCTACAACCCATACCAAATAACTCTACTTAGATTACTTCATGATTACACATATATTATACTTTATTTTTACTTTTACTTCTCAATATTTCCTTGAACTATCATGTTGGGTACCTATACATATATTTATTCATCTTTTATTCGATATTAGGGCATGCATAATCCTAAACATATGATTAGGTTCACACACACACACCAAACACACATATAACCCTAAATTAGGGCTTACTTCTTGTTTTAGAAACTCGCACCCAACCAACTTATTATACATGAAGTGGGTTATGGTTTTAACATTAAGACTTAGCTATAACTCATATTCCAAGGACTAAAAGTGTAACATCCACAAAATTCATGAAAAATTCAAACTTTTAAAACCAATCCACCAATCACCATTGTTTAAAATTTAGTTTTCAAAACATGTTTAATATCAGAGTTTTTCCAAAATCATAAATCAAAACACGAGGAGGTGTACGATCACGCCTTCGCCTTCACGCGATCATCTGAGGTACCTGAAACATAACCCAAAACTGTAAGCCCAAAACTTAGTGAGTTCCTGTCACACCCCCAAACCAAGGATGGTGGAAACGTCCGGGGGTGGAGGACTTCATGTATAGTATCATAA